CAACATGGCAAATTTAAAAATTAGCTGGGCATAGTGGCATGGGCCTGTAGTCCCAGCTACTTGGGAGTAGTCTGAGGCTGGAGGATTGCTTGAGACTAGGAGTTTGAGGCTGCAGTGCTGCAGTAAGCTATGATCACGAACTGCACACCAGCCTGAGCAACAGAAGCTCTGTTTAAAAAAAAAAAAAAAAAAATCAGAACACATCAAGGTAAGAAAATAATGAAAAAGCATTTTCCAAAAACTCCAGGAAAAAACAATCAGAAGCAAGGCTTTTTATATCCAACCAAGCTATTCTTCAACTATCAGCACCATAAGAAATAAGTTTAAACATTCAACAGCCCAGGAAATTCTGTACTCTTAAGTCTTCTTAAGAAATTTAGTAGGAAAGCCGGGCGCAGTGGCTCATGCCTGTAATCCCAGCACTTTGGGAGGCTGAGGTGGACGGAACACGAGGCCAGAAGTTCGAGACCATCCTGGCTAACATGGTGAAACTCCGTCCCTACTAAAAATACAAAAAATTAGCCGGGCATGGTGGCAGGCGCCAGTAGTCCCAGCTACTCAGGAGGCTAAGGCAAGAGAATGGCGTGAACCCGGGAGGCAGAGTTTGCAGAGAGCCGAGATAGAGCCACTGCACTCCAGCCTGGGTGACAGAGCGAGACTCTGTCTCAAAAAAAAAAAAAAAGAAAGAAATTTACTAGAAGATACAAATAAAACTTACAGCAAAGAATAACATAATCACACTAAGGGCAGTGGAGGGGAATAACCCATTTAACTTATGAACATTATATTTTGTACTATATATTCTCAGAACACTAAACAAATATTGAGCCTAACTCCTAAGCTTCTTTCTAACAGAAGTATGAGCCAGAAACTCTGAAACTATTCTAGATAATCTAGGACTGAGCAAATAAGTAAATATATTTGATAACGGGAGCAGGTTTCTCATAGAGAATGAGTTACAAATATGGAAAAGCGGGAAGGAGAGAATAAACCCTGTGGTATTGAATTGAACATACTTGAAAGAATTACTGGTTTTTAATAAAAATTTTTTTATTTTAATAGAGATCATAGATGTATACTGGAGTACGTAGACATATATGCACACACATATACTTATAATTTTATATACATATATAGATACACATATATGCACATACATTTTTTTCTTAGCTCCATCCACTTGGACCTAAAATTAATGACACCTAGGGTAAGGGTGCACATGAAGCATTATCTTCTACTTGGTAGAATCAAGGCTAAAAGGAAACAGGGCTCCTAAATGGTTCATTTCAGGTCCAGAGCAGGAAAAGGATAAGATGAGCCCTGAACATCTTACTATACCAGAAAGGAAGTATTTAAGCAAACATGCAGCATTTAATAAGGACCCAGAAGCAGCCTGAAAAGGCTCCCACTAGCCAAATCTGGGAAAACCTAAGCATCAAAGTAAATAATGACAGTAAAGGAATATATCTTGTTGTATAAAATAAGAATATAAGAATCCACCCAGTGTGTATTCTGTATGTATTTACATATATATGTGTGTGTGTGTATAAGTTTATATATATATATAAATATGTAAATGGGAGAGGAGAAAAAGCTCTTCCTCAAGTAGAAAGCCAATTAATAAATGTAGAAATGATGGAATTAGCCACTATTTGGCATGCATCATAATAATAATTGATTAGAAAAGACTCATCAATGGATGCTAAACTAGTGAGTAAAACTTTGCTGAGTACACTGGTTATTCACATATTTTCAAGGTATCTCCTAATAAGATATTTATAATTACAATAAGAAAACTTGTAACTTTACAGTGGCAAAAACAACCTTAACCAAGTAAGGAAAGTTAACATCAGCAGTAATGAAACAAATCAGCATGGGGGTTTCTAATATTTTGCAATATTTATTAATTACAAAGGGGTAAAAAAGAGTAATTTTAAAGTGGAGAGCCCTGGCAGATACAACCTTAATGAATGACCAAAGTGAATATCATCAGTAATGGAACAAATGAAAACCATGTGCCACCTGTAAGATGCAACAATAAGAACACAGCATTACTTCTGCGATATTCCCCCCAAAGATGCAAGACCCGAACCAAATTACAAGGACACTTCAAGACAAACTCAAATTGAAGAATGTTTTACAAATAACTGGTCTGAATCTTCCAAAGTGTCAAGATCAGGAAGATTAAGGAACTGTTCCAGGCTGAAGGAGAGTAAATAGATATAGCCATAAATGCAGAACTGAACTAAATCCTTTCAGTAAAGGAAATTATTGAGACAACTGGTAAAACTTGAATGGGGTCTGAGAATTAGCTGGTCGTAATGTATCAGTGTTAATATTTTAATAGTTTTATATTGTGGTTATATAGGAGATTATCCTGGTTCATAGGAAATATAAAGTTTCAAGAGGTTGGGACTATCATATCAGCAACTTAATCTTGTGAAAGGAAAACAAATCTTGGGACCCCAAAATTATTAAACAAAAAGGAAAAGTCAAGCTGGAAACTGCTTAGGGCAAACCTATCTCCCATTCTATTCAAAGTCATCCCTCTGCTCACTAAGATAAATGCATATCTGATTGCCTCCTTGGGAAAAGGCTAATCAGAAACTCAAAAGAATGGACCTACGTGTGTCTCTCACCTACCTGTGACCTGGAAGCCCCTCCCTGCTTGAGGAGCTTCCAGGTCCCACCTATCTGGATGGAACCAACATACATCTTACATATATTGATTGATGTCCCATGTCTCCCTAAAATTTATAAAACCAATTGTGCTCTGACCACCTTGGACGCATGTCATCAGGACCTCTAGAGGCACAAGTCCTCAGCCTTGGCAAAACAAACTTTCTTTTTTTTTTTTTTTTTTGAGATGGAGTCTCACTCTGTCACCCAGATTGGAGTGCAGTGGCGTGATCCTGGCTCACTGCAACCTCTGCCTCCCGGGTTCAAGTGATTCTCCTACTTCAGCTTCCCAAGTAGCTGGGAATACAGACACCTGCCACCACACCCAGCTAATTTTTTTGTATTTTTAGTAGAGACAGGGTTTCACCATGTTGGTCAGGCTGGTCTCAAACTCCTGACCTCAAGAGATCCACCCACCTCGGCCTCCCACAATGGTAGGATTACAGGCGTGAGCCAACGCACTAAGCCCAAAATTAACTTCCTAAATTAATTGAAATTGTCTCAGATATTTGGGGTTCACAATCTCAAAGTTTGGAGAAAAAAAAATTATTTATATACTTCTTGTACCTTTTCTATAAATTTGACAGCATTTCAAATTTTTTTACAAACATTTTAAAGAAACAATTTTGTTTTGTTTTGTTTTTGAGATGGAGTCTCTGCATGATCTCAGCTCACTGCAACCTCCGCCTTTCGGGTTCAAGCGATTCTCCTGCCTCAGTCTCCCAAGTAGCTGGGATTACAGGCACGTGCCACCACGCCCGGCTAATTTTTTTTTGTATTTTTAGTAGAGACAGGGTTTCACCGTGTTAGCTAGGATGGTCTTGATCTCCTGACTTCGTGATCCGCCCTCCTCAGCCTCCCAAAGTGCTGGGATTACAGGCGTGAGCCACCGCACCTGGCCACTATTTTGTAATTCTAAAACTAAGATACGTATAGTATAAAATTTTCAAATTCTACTAAAACTCCACTTATTGCACCACTGTTAATATCTGGGTGAACTTCTTTCCAGAATCATGTCTGTACAGGATATATGCAAAACAATACATAAGACAATACACTGTAGGAAAACACTTCACATAGATAAAATCATACACTCACTGTCCTATAACTGATTTTTTTTTAACTTCATATTCTCTAGTACATACCATTTCCTATAATACTGAGAAATATATTTTTTCCTCTCCTTTCCTGACACACAGCTCCTAAAAGCCTTGGAATCTGTAGAATAAGACTACCTTTTATTTTTTGTTTTTGTTTTTTGAGACAGAGTCTCACTCTGTCACCCAGGTTAAAGTGCAGTGACACGATCTCAGCTCCCCGCAACCTCCACCTCCTGGGTTCAGGCAATTCTCCCTGCTTCAGCCTCCCAAGTGGCCGGGATTACAGATGCCCACCACCATGCCTGGCTAATTTTTGTATTTTTGGTAGAGATGGGGTTTTGCCATATTGGTCATGCTAGTCTCGAACTCCTGACCTCAGGTGATCTGCCCACCTCAGCCTCCCAAAGTGCTGGGATTACAGGCATGAGGTGCCCAGCCAAGAGGGCCTTCTGTATGCTAATAAAATGACTCCCACATAGCTTCAAGATGGGGGCTGGTCACGGAAAAGACTAAAGCATGATTAGAAGGTTGAGACTTTCAGTTCCACACCCCCAACCTCCAGGAGAGAGGGGATAATGGCTAGTGATGTAATCAATCATGCCTATGTAGTGAAGCCTTCATGTAAACCCAAAAGAACACAGTTTGGAGAGCTTCCAGACAAATGAATATGTGGAGGTTCTTGGAGGGTGGTACCCCAGAGAAGGCACAGAAATTTGGAACCCCTTCTCCCACACATCAGTCTATGCATCTAGCCCATCTGACTGTTCATCTATATTCTATGTAATATCTTTATCATAAACCAAGAAACATAAAGTGTTTCCTAGAGTTCTGTGAGCCATTCTAGCAAATGAATCAAACCCAAGGAGAGTGTTCAATTTACAGCCAGTCTGTCAGAAGTATACGTGACAACCTACTACTTGTGACTGGCACTGAAGTGGGGGGCAGTCTTATGGGACTGAGCCCTCAATCTGTGAGATGTGATGTTATCTCCAGTTAGACAGTGTCAGAATTGCACTGAATTACAGGACACCCAGCTGGTATTGAAGGCAGAACTGTTTTGTTGGTATGTGAGGGAAAACCACAGAAGTATTCTTTGTTGATGCTGAGTGAGAAAACAGGGAGGAAAAAAAGCACTTTGGTTCTTCCTATATCCTTACAGTTACACACACACACACACACACACACACACTTTACATTCCAAAACAAAACCATCTTCCCTACCTCCAGCAGTCCTACAGCTATGGAAAGTGCCACTCCGGAGGAACGCAAAGGTCTCTTTCCCTGTGGTACAGGCCAAGGGTCTCGCTGGAGTTCTCCCAGAAGATCTGTGAGATTCATGTCTATTTTCTGTACTGGTTGTAAGAATCTGAGAAACAAAATTAAATAAAAAGTCATTTATAAATGTTTATGGGTGAGAGTTCAAGAAACAAATTTCACTTTCCTAAAAATAGAAAACAATACTCTGAACACACAGCAGACCAATGGTTCTCAAACTTTCGTGTACATGAGAACCAGCTGGAGGGCTTATTTTAACACATATTGCTAGATCCCAGTTCTAGAGTTTGTTTCAGTAGGTGTGGACTGGAGCCCAAGAATTTGCATTTCAATCACATTCCTAGGTGACACTTGATGATATCAGCTCCAGAAACCACATTTTGAGTACAACTACAATAAACGAAACACTCAAACCAAGTACTACTTCAGGATTTCATCTTTCACTTACTAGTCTAGTCAGTTTTAGGTTACTGAAATAATTATGAGAAAATACATCAACTCAATTTTAGTAATACTACCTCTGATTAAAAAGCTTAGGGGAAAAAGCTAGCAGGGCGTGGTGGCTCACGACTGTAATCCCAGCACTTTGGGAGGCCGAGGAGGGAGGATCACAAGGGCAGGAGATCAAGATGGTGAAAGCCCGTATCCACTAAAAAAACAAAAATTAGCCAGGCATGGTGGTGCATGCCTGTAATCCAGCTACTCGAGAGGCTGAGGCAGGAGAACTGCTTGAACCTGGGAGGCGGAAGTTGCAGTGAGCCAAGATCGTGCCACTGCACTCCAGAAACCTTACAGGAAAAAGCTACCTCTAAAGCTAAGAAGAAAAAATAAAAACCTTGGCTGCCCTAAACCCACACAAAAACAAGTTTTTTCCAAAGTTCAAAATAAAAAATAAGGAAAATAACAAAACTAAAGTAACTCCTTACATTGTTAGAACAAAAAACAAACCATTTTAATGGCATGATTTTGCCTCAGTTCTTTAAAAAGTATGTTAATACAATTTACTTATATTCCTAAAAATATTTAACAATATAGTATCACTGAATGTCTATGTTCAAGGGTATGGAATGTTTAAAATACCTACAGAAGTGGTCAAATTCTCTTCATCATATTTAATTATTACCTGTTGGAAGGAGGTGGCTGCTGTACCTGAGGACCACGTGTTGCTTGAGTAACTGGTACTTTAGAGAGCCCCAACATTTCCTGTAAAGAGATTACTTGTACAATATTCATTTAATTACTTTTACAAAGATTAATCAACTATTTATCATGTATAAAATGCAGTGCTAGACATTAGAAACACAAAAATAAAAAATACAAGGTCTCCTTCCTCAGAAAACAAAGAGTCCAGTGGAAGAGATTATCAAGAAAACAATAACACAAAATAATCATCATGAGAGAGCAAAGCACAAGGTGTTATACAACCAAAGAGGAAGCATATTAGCTCAGAAACACTTTATTTCTAATTAACAGTCAAAATAAATTGTTGTGTAACTTAAATGTCCATACTTCTTAATTTATATTCATTCATCCCTTTCAGCAAACTATATCATAAGCACCTGCTATGTGGCAGGAATATAATGGTAAAAACTAACTAGTCCCTTCCCTCATGGAAATTAAAATCCAGAAACAGAAATCAATCAAATCAACAGATAAATAAATATAAAATTGCAACAGTAATAAGTGTTATGACATGGGGAGTTTTAAGGTTCACATACTTTGTGTATATATACATCTTCATTTTCTAACATAATTTATAACCAAACTGCCACCTTTGTTTTGAATTTCAGTATGTGCACAATTTCTCTCCAGACAAATGAAAATGTCATACTAAATTTTTCTTGAATCTAGAAATGCTTAGTCATGAAGTACTGGAGTTACGAAACTGTGTAACAGAAAATCGAAGTCTAAAGATGTACAAAGATAAAATTAATGAACTAATCCTGCAATATTTCCTATACTGTTAGCGGAAACAACAACTCTTTACTAAGAACTTAACATATTCCATATTCTATGCTAAAACCTTTATATATACTATTTCCTCAAAAAACAATAATGAAATAGATTTCTTCTTAATTTCTACTTTACAAAAGAAAATTGACAATCAAAAAGACTAAGTAATTTTTCTGAAGTTACACAACCAGTAAGTAACAAAGCAAGATTTTAAATCCAGGTTTTTCTACAAAGCCCTATTAAGGGTTTACACCCTACTGACAATTCTCATATTTAGTACTAATAACCTGGCAAAATAGGTACTGTTTATTCCTTTCTATGAAGGATGAGATAATTAGAAAAGACATAAACCCAAGATCATACAACTAGAAGAGTTTAAAATTTGAATTCAGGACTATTTGGGGAGCAAAGACCAGGCTCTTTTCAACGAGATAGATAAGGAAAGAAAATAAAAATGTTTCAGTGGAGGAATAAAAAAATTAGTCTGCAGGCATTCGCTTGCCTATTGAAAAAAGAAGATGTGGCCAGGCATGGTGAATCACGCCTGTAATCCCAGTATTTTGGGAGGCTGAGGCGGGTGGATCACCTGAGGTCAGGAGTTCGAGACCAGTCTGGCCAACATGGTGAAACCCCATCTCTACTAAAACTACAAAAATTAGGGCCAGGCGCGATGGTTCACGCCTAATCCCAGCGCTTTGGGAGGTCATGGTGGGTGAATCACGAGGTCAAGGAGTTCAAGACTAGCCTTGGTTAACATGGTGAAGCACCATCTCTAATAAAAATACAAAAATTAGTCAGGCATGGTGGTGTGCTCCTGTAATCCCAGCTATCTGGGAGGCTGAGGCAGGAGAATCTCTCGAACCCAGGAGGCTGAGGTTGCCATGAGCTGAGATCATGCCACTGCACTCCAGCCGGTGTGACAGAGCGAGAGTCCATCTCAGACAAACAAACTAAAAAAAGCTAGGCTGGCCTCGGTGGCTCACGCCTGTAATCCCAGCATTTTGGGACACCGAGGCAGGGGGATCACCTGAGCTCAGGAATTCAAGACCAACCTGGCCAACATGGCGAAACCTTGTCTGTACTAAAAAATACAACAATTGGTCAGGCGCAGTGGCTCACACCTATAATCCCAGCACTTTGGGAGGCTGAGGCAGGCAGATCATGAGGTCAGCAGATCAAGACCATCCTGGCCAACACGGTAAAACCTCGTCTCTACCAAAAATACAGAAAAAAAAATTAGCCAGGTGTGGTGCCACATGCCTGTAGTCCCAGCTACTCAGGAGGCTGAGGCAGGAGAATTGCTTGAACTCAGGAGGCAGAGACTGCAAGATCATGCCACTGCACTCCAGCCTAGATGACAGAACAAGACTCTGCATCAAAAAAAAAGAAAAAAGGAAGATGTTTTACGTGCTTCACATGTATTACATAATTTAAGTAAAAGGGACTCTACAATCAGAAGAGTAAACCATTCTAAATAAATTCATAATTTAATAATAACATTAATAGTAGCAAACACTTAAACGTATAATTCACTTAATTCTCATGACTACACTATAAGGTAAATACTATTACTATCTCTATTTTACAAATGAAAAAAACTAAAGCACAGAGATTTAAACTGGTTCACTTTCTCTCCTGTCTCACGGAAACATGATTCTCCTCTCCGCTTCCTGTGCTCCTGAAGGAATCCCTACTATGTCTTCCTAAACCTCACTTTCCTCATCTCACTCTTACTTTCACTCACCCTCTTTAGTCTCTTTCCTTTCTCCTTCCTCCTAAAGTACATCTCTTTAACTCGGTTCTCTCTCAAATTCCCATGCTATCTCCTCCTTCATTACTTTCAACAACAAACCTCTTAAAAGAACAAACTTCAGGCTGAGCGCGGTGGCTCACACCTGTAGTCCCAGCACGCTGGGAGGCCGAGGAAGGCAGATATACTGAGGTCAGGAGTTCAAGACCAGCGCGGCCAACATAGTGAAACCATGTCTCTACAAAAATACCAAAATTAGCCAGGCATGATAGTGGATGCCAGTAGTCCCAGCTACTCAACAGGCTGAGGCAGGAGAATCGCTTGAACCCGGGAGGCGGAGAGTGCAGTAAGCCAAGATCGTGGCATGCACCCCAGCCTGGGCGACAGAGCGAGACTCTATCTCAAAAAGAAAAGAACAAACTTCAACTTTCTCTACCTTCTCAAATCTTATTCACTACTCATTGACTAACACGTTTATTACTCATTATCCTCCCCATTTAAGCCTGCAAATTCCCTTAGTATGTTCTCTAAGTTAACTGTGTAGCACCACTACCTCAGTCTGCCAAGTTTCAAATTAGACTCACCTTCAAAAATCTCTTCCTTCCTTCTTCATTTTGGTCTACCTGGAAGCCTCTGAAGTCTGATTTTACATCTGTCAACTTTATGCCAGGCTTATCTATCATTTTCTAGGGTAACTGTTCTCAACTAGGAGTTGCACCAGAATTACTTAGAAAGTTTTTTCAAAGTACCTACATGAACAATCTTATATTATATATATAAGGTATATATACCAACCATCTCCCAATACAAATAGACATTCACTTATTACTCTCTTACGGACTATCAAAATCTCTGGGCAGAAAAAAAGATGTTCAGCCGAGCAGATGATCCTAGCATGCTACACATAACTCCTTTGCCTTGGAAGAGAAAGCTTCAATTTGTCCCAGTGATAAAAACCACTAAAATACATATGCAACCATAGTTCATAAACTAAAAATTGTCCAGTCTCAAAATAACTCCCCTCACCAAACATACTAAAAGTATTTAGTTCCTAAGTGAAACATTAAGAAGCAAAAGCTCTCTCCTCAGCAGCCACCAAGGTGATCAGTTCTTATGAGGAACTGGGGTGAGGCCCTCACTTCATCAGGTAACTAGCATTGTGTCGGGCAGCACCAGCCCTGCACTCGCCCACACCATGGCCTCCATCTCAAGTTCTTCTGCATCTAATTGGACCTCATTCTGCATGACAATGAGGTGACCATCACAGTGGATTACATCAATGCCCTTGTTAAAGCAGCTGATATAAATGTTGAACCTTTCTGGCCTGGCTTGTTTGCAAAGGACTGGCCAATGTCAACATCAGGAGCTTCATCTGCAATGTAGGGGCTGGTGGACCTGCTCCAACAGTTGGTGCTGCACCAGCAGGAGGTCCTGCCCCCACCACTGCTGCTGCCCCAGCTGAGGAAAAGAAAGTGGAAAGAAAGAAAGAAGAACCTGAGGAGTATGATGATGACATGGACTTTGGTCTTTTTTTTTTTTGGAGACGGAGTCTCGCTCTGTTCCCCAGGCTGGAGTGCAGTGGCGTGATCTCGGCTCACTGCAAGCTCCGCCTCCCAGGTTCACGCCATTCTCCTGCCTCAGCCTCCTGAGCAGCTGGGACTACAGGCACCCGCCACCTCGCCCGGCTAATTTTTTTGTATTTTTAGTAGCCACGGGGTTTCACCGTGTTAGCCAGGATGGTCTCCATCTCCTGACCTTGTGATCCGCCCGCCTCGGCCTCCCAAAGTGCTGGGATTACAGGCGTGAGCCACTGCACCCAGCCGACTTTGGTCTTTTTGACTAACTCTTTTATAACATGTTCAATAAAAAAGCTGAACTCTTAAGAAAAAAAAAAGAAACAAGCTAATATTCTGTGGTTGCTCTTCTTAGCCTTCAGCATGACTCTTCATAAGCCCTTCAAATCTCTAGTAAAAGACCTTTGGTTTGACTTTAAATTTTAAAGATACAGTTAAAAGTGAAGGGTCTTTAATCTGTATAACAATTTAAGGTACGTGAAAAGAATACTGAGGCCAGCACTGAATTTAAAGCCTTTGTTATAATACCATTATATTAGTTTTTCATAATAAAAATTTGTCCTAGAAACATACAGAAAGCATTTATAAACATCAATAGAGTAATGTTCAGATAGGTGAAAACTACCATTCTTGTTGTTTACCTGCAGTTGTTTGGCTGACAAATCTTTTGTTCCTCTGAAGACATAGCTTTTTGAAATGCCTTCACATCCAAGTTCATGAACCTGAACCATTCTCCCAAAAGTAATAAGTCCAACCAAAGCTGTAGGTGGTAAAAGACTTAATGACATCTGCATGGATTCTTTCAGGGCTTGTAAATCTTCATCTTCCATGCAAGTATCAACCACATAGAGGAATATCAAAGGCATCTGAGGACCACGCTTTTAAAAAATTCACCAAAAAGAAAAAATATATAGTTTAAAGCACAATATACAAGACAGTCAACAGGGAATTAATTGAATAACGGAAACAAAAGTATCCTAGTAAAGCCATTTCAGAAATGAAATAGGTTATTTCTACTGTCATGGAGAGAGATCTAAGACATATTATCAGGTGAAAAAGTAAGAAGAACATTAGGTATAGTTACACAGAGGGGACTTTCACTTTCCATTTTATTTAACTCATGCATAAGGTTTCATTTGACTCTTATAAAATAATTAGTAAACCTGACTTGAATTTTCAGAGAACTAGAAACTAGCCAGGCTGGACAAATTATTAAATGGTCCAAGTGAATCATAACTGTTTTCTCTAAAACATTCATAAAATATATTACTTCCACACTTAAACATGCAAACAACTATGTTAGGTATTCAGAAAGAGAATAAAAGTGATTTCCCTAAGAAGGATCAATGCAAGATTATTTTCATTAATTAGACCTGGGGGATACATTAGCCAACTCCAGCATCATATTGACTAAGTATTTGTTAACTGAATTTCCAACTACAAAGCAAGATTGATACTTTATTGTTTACTGATCTACTCAGTATAGTAAATCACACCACCCTACCCAGTATCTTAGCCACCCATCAAATAACAACAACATAGGAATTACCCTGCTCAAACTGACCTCAACGGTTTACCTTTGAAATGTTCCATCGAATCAATGTGAGAATTAAGCATGATTGCTTCCAAATTATCACAATTTAACAATTATTTCAGTATAAATTTTAAAACTTTCTTAAATATTTGTTCTTATGTTCTTACCAGAACTACATATTCAATGCTAGAAAACTGAGGTAAAAGTTCAGCAGGCTGATTCAGTTCAGATATACCAGCATAACTAGGTGGAAACTACAAATAGAAAAAAAAAAACAAAAATGTTTAACAAATTATAGGCTAGAAAGATTAATAAAATTTTAAACTGAAAGCATTTCCTGATCATTTAATTATTTTTCAAAAGGCATTTTCATTAAATGAGAAATAATTATTTGTATCTTTTTTTAAATATGCATTTTTCTACATGACTAGTATTTTGGCATTAACATCTGCAATGGATGTTTTATGTTTTTTTTTTAGACGGAGTCTTGCTCTGTCACCCACACTGGAGTGCAGTGCCGCGATCTCGGCTCACTGCAAGCTCCGCCTCCCAGGTTCACGCCACTCTCCTGCCTCAGCCTCCCTAGTAGCTGGGACTATAGGCGCCTGCCACCAAGCCTGGCAAACTTTTTTTGTATTTTTAGTAGAGACAGGGTTTCACTGTGTTAGCCAGGAGGGTCTCGATCTCCTGACCTCGTGATCCACCTGCCTTGGCCTCCCAAAGTGCTGGGATTACAGGCGTGAGCCAA